TTCTCACCTACATCGTCCATATAGGACGACTCGGGAACTCAACTCCTACCCCGGGCAGCTCACCTATCCCCTTATACCCAGGGGAAAGGTATCAAGCCGTTTGACAGCTGGTGCTGGCTGTCAAACCGGCTTTTACGCGAAACAGGCGGGAGGCAGCAAACAGCTGCGACCGACGAAGTCGCCTGCCACCGGAAGTCCCAAACCTGGGTCACTCTTGGCAACAGGAACAGTAGCAGTTAATTGTGTAGGAAGGTCACAAAAGGATTAAATTTAACATGCAATGCTGATTTTAGCTAACAAAGTCAGTCAGTTGCAGACACTTGCTATTTTGGTTTGAAACACCAAGATATTTTATCAGAAGAAAAACACATTTCTATGAGAAGCCTAACCTGTTCATAATGGCTCTTCTGATCAAGTCACGATTTCTTACATCTTGCAATATTTCTGTATCTTCTAGGTCCCATGTTTCTTGTTGCTGTGTTCTGGAAAATATTAGGCAAGTGGGAAATTTAAATAAAGAAATACACAATGGCTTGTATGATTATTAGTTGCTATTACACAGCAAAGAACAATGGAGTATAGCTGCACCTCTTGCAATTGGTGCATGGATTAAATTATTAGAGACAGTAACATTAAAATAAACATTGGATAAGCATACTGTTTAAATTTCTAGAAAAATAGTATGTGGCTGCATTCATTTCTGACCTTACACTTTACAACTCTCTTCTCAAATGATATTTCTGTATCTCCTTTCCCCAAACTATGTTCAAATATAACTTAGAACAACAATTAATCTGAAAGTGGCTAGTAGCCCATGAAAATATACTAAAACCTATTTACTAGATTTAAAAAAACTATTCCTTTAGTATTTACCACACTTTGTCAATTTCACCTTCAGTGTGGCTCCCTAAAGATTGTTGATGCTGTCTATGAAGTGATTTGACTAAGAGGGAATTGAACTGACGGGATCAAAACAAAGTACGAGGCGCTTCCATGCCAGTTCTTCTTGCAATTCTTCAGATCCCCTGTTCCAGAGCTGTGTTTCCATGCTACTATCTCTCATCAGCAGCCAAGCTAATTAATTTTGGCTCAGCTATGGTGCAGCTGAAAGCATCTCTCTCTGACGGACACACCTTTCCATTTGTAACGATGATGCAGCTCTGCAGAATTTGTGAGCCCTTCTTTGTTGTTTCCATTGGCAAGAACTCTTCCCCCACCCCATTTCCTCAGCGTCAACAGGTGCAGCATCCTGCAGAAGGCTCTGTAGAGGGAAAAGGTTGCTTGATAGCTTCACAAGTCTCCCTTCATATTAATTTCTAAAATTTTACTTTGGAAAGAGCCAGGCAAGCGCGGACCATTCTGCTGAGTCCATCTCAAAATCAGCCAGGATCAATTTTGGATCCTTGCATCCTGAAGTGAACTTTGCTTGGGGTCTTTTTATTCTCTCTTCTCTCTTGCCAGGGACAAGCTGACTGCATAGTCCCAAGTTACCTTTAAAAACAAAAAAGCACAAAACTGCCTCACATATGGGATGTGTGTATGAACAATTCCTTCTGTATGGAGGGAATTTCAGTCCCTTCTAGACCAGTGGTTCTCAACCTTTTTAATGCCGCGACCCCCAACCGGTCGTAAGTCGAGGACTAAACCGGTCGTAAGTCGAGGACTAAACCGGTCGTAAGTCGAGGACTACCCAACCGGTTGTAAGTCGAGGACTTTCCCTGCTCGGGAGCGCCGCGCATGCATGGTTCCGCCCCCTGCCCGGCCGAGGCATAGCTGGCAAGCGGCAGAGACGGAGCAGGCCGACCACCAGCTGGCCCAGCCCAAGGGAGGTAAGGCACCTGCCGGAAAAGGGGAAAAAAATGGCGGACAGCCTTGCTTGGCGACCCCCGTGAAATGGTCAATCGACCCCAAATGGGGTCGCGACCCATAGGTTGAGAACCGCTGTTCTAGACTGTCTCTCCCTTTCCCTGGCAACATTTGGCATCCTGCCTGTTGGCATTATTTAGATCAATTGTGTCCAACCCACGGCTCACCACACGTGGTCATGGACAGCCAGTAATGCGCCCCACAAGAATGTAAACTTTTAACATTAATATGTGTTTTAGATAAAGATTAACTATATATTTTATATTTGGCCCAAGACAATTCCTCTTCACTCAGTGTAGCCCAGGCAAGCCAAAAGTTTGCACTTCCCTTATTTAGACTCTTATCTCCGCTATAAAAAAAAATGCAACCTGTATTACAGTCACTGGGGAAAACATTTAATTGTACAATTACCAGCATGCTCTCTTTCATCATCACAACTTCCAGTAAGCTTTTAAGTGCAATGAAGGAATGGAAGCTTGATGGCCCCTCATTTATAACAAGTGAACATAGACTAAGGTGATCAAAGGCCTGGAGACTAAAACATACAAAGAACGGCTACGGGACTTGGGTTTGGCTAGTCTAAAGAAAAGAAGAAATAGGGGAGACATGAGAGCAGTGTTCCAGTATCTGAGGGGCTGCCACAAGGCAGAGGGGGGCAGGTTGTTCATCAAAGCACCAGAGGGAAGGACGAGAAACAATGGTTGGAAACTGATCAAAGAGAGAAGCAACCTGGAATTAAGGAGAAACTTCCTGACAGTGAGGACAATCAATCAGTGGAACAGCTTACCCCCAGAAATCGTGGGCGCTCCATCACTGGAGATTTTAAAGAAGAGACTGGACATTCACCTGTCTGAGACAGTATAGGTCAGACATGTCAAACACAAGGCCCAGGGGTCGGATGCGGCCCGCGAAGTGGTTTCATGTGGCCCGCAAAGCCATCCTGGAAACAGTGAGGGAACGGCCCCCTCTGTCTTGGCCCTGGCCCAGGCCAGCCGGGAGCCAATGTACAATTTTGTGGTGGCCATCTATGCTGAAACACATTCAGTATTAGCTCCACAAGGCTGTCTGGAAACAGCGAGTAACCAGGAGAACCTTGAGCAGCAGCCTTGAGGAAGTGGGGCTGGGCTTGGTGCTGCGGGTGCTCAAGGGCCAGGCTGGGCATTTGACCTCTGCTGCCCAGGGCTCTGGGCAGCCCGCCCCACCATCCAGCCCCCCCCCGCATGGCCTGAGAGGAACAGTGAGGCTCCTCCAGTGGACCATGCCTTGGCACTTGCCCTGGTCCCACCCCCTTCTGCCAGAGACCCTCAGATATGTCCCACTCCTGCCTAGGCCCCCACAGGCACCCTTGATGCGAACGATGTAGAGCTGGCCACGCCCACCCAGTAGGCCACACCCACTCCATCCATGCCCACCCAGTAGGCCGCGTCCACCCTGGCCACACCCACCCGGCCCCCTGAGGGCAACCACAATGCTGATGCGGCCCTCAATGAAATTGAGTTTGACACCCCTGGTATAGGTTCTCCTGCTTGAGCAAGGAACTGGACTAGAAGACCTCCAAGGTCCCTTCTAGTTCTATTCTATTCTATTCTATTCTATTCTATTCTATTCTATTCTATTCTATTCTAGACAAATGCACACAGTAAATTTTGGACATATAAGTGCAGCTAATTTATTTAATTTTCTTTCTAAATGAAGCAGAGAAAAAGGGATTGAATTTTTGTAGCTCCAAAAGCTGAACAGCTCGGGATGAGACACTCACTGATTAACATTTTCTGTAGTACCCTATTGCTGAGCTGGAAAGAGGCCACTGCCTGTTGTTGCTGTCCTACAGATAGTTTTCAACTTACAACTATTCATTTAGTGACCATTCGAAGTTATAACAGCAGTGAAAAAAGTAACTTATGACTGGTTTTCACTTATAACTGTTGCAGCATCCCCATGGGCATGTGATCAAAACACGGGTGCTAGGCAATTGGCTTGCATTTATGACAATTGCACTGTCCTGGGGTCATGTGATCACCATTTGTAATCTTCCCAGCTGGCTTTTGACAAACAATGGGGGAAGTCAGATTCACTTAACAATTGCACTGATTCATTTAACAACTGTGGCAAAAAAGGTTATAAAAATCATTTAACAACTGCCTTGCTTAGGAACAGAAATTTTGGGTTCAATTGTGGTCGTAAGTCGAGGACTATCTGTAGTCCTTTTCTGTGTTAGACTAGACATATACAGTTTTTGCAACCATATTTCTGAATTTCTCCAGAAAAGGAGAGGACAGGAGATCGCCCACAAGTACTCCAGCTGCTCCTTGCAAGCAGACTACAGGACAGTTTTCTGCAAGATGAAGGGATCAACCATCTTTATCTATCTATCTATCTATCTATCTATCTATCATCTATCTATCTATCTATCTATCTATCTATCCATCCATCCATCCATCCATCCATCCATCCATCCATCCATCTTATTGGCTGCCCATCTTACCACACGGTAACTCTTTCTCAACATATCTTTCTTGCAACCACAACAATGCCCTTTAAAGAACATTGTTTGCAAGCTTCCCTTTCTAATCATTATTGGAACTATGTCAAGTACTCCCCAAGTTCACAAAAACTACATGCACATATATATTGCATATATGACAGGAAAGAAGCATGTTATTGATTTTTTTTAACTCTAGTATTTATATGCTGCACACAGCGGCGGATTTCCGCACAGGCGCAGGAGGCGCGCGCCTGGGGCCTCCACATTTCAGGGGCCTCCACGGCGGTGATCAGATCAGGCGCCCGATTCCTAGGTTTGCTGACCTCCCTCCCTCCCCAGACCCCGCGCGAAATTTCCTCCTCCATCAGCCTCGGCTACCGACGACGCTCGGCCTCACCCTGAAATCAGCGC